GACCACTCGGGAGCGGAAAAATGGAGAATGAAGCTTTAAATTAACGAGAATTACTGAAATATACAGTTTTATAGTAGTCAAGGCAGAAAGAACTGATATTGATAATATTTAACGTAGGATTTATTTGCGAGATGAAAAAACAATTGACAAAAAAAAAAGGTAATAAATTGACACTTGTGACTACTGTAAAAATGGCCAAATACGCGGATTAATTGTTGACCCGCAGCGAGTGTGGGACGGCATTTTATTGAGAATAATAAATTATTAATGAAAGAAGGAAAATGATAAAAGAAACAAAAAGTTGAATTTAATATAAATTGATTGAATATTTAATTGCATATTGAATATATATTCGTAGAGAGTTATTTGAATTCTTTATTATTATTTTTTTTTCTCCTCTTTTCTCATTTATTCTCGTTATGATTATTATTATTTTTTTTTTGTGTGAGAACTGATATCACGAGCCGCGTTTAAAACATTTAAAGGGAGAATTATACATCGTTAATTGCCATTTCCGAGCTTCCGGTTTGCATTTAAATCGTTGACCATAGAATTATCTCGCGCCAGAGAGAGAAAGATAGGAAATTTATTCTTTATTAGTGTAATAAGGCCCTCAGTAACAAATAACGTTGAAAATGTTATTGTTATGTGAAAATTTGCAAAAAAAAAGACTGAATCAGGAATTGAATGTTGAAACTGGTGCGAGAGAAGCGAACGAAATAGAGAGAAGACAAATTCTATGTGACACTTTATTTAATTACGTGTCCCCGACTGAATTGGATGAAATCATCTTGTTTTTCCTAAAATTAGTCGACTTTTTTTTTGTTTTATTGGACTGATTTTTTTTTTACATTTGACTGATGTTACCAAACTGTTGATTTGAAAAGGTACCTAATGATTAAGTTAAAAACGGTAAAATTTATAAGCACTGAAAATGCGGCATTTAGCCCGTGCAATTTTATTCGAGAAAAACTTGAGATTATAGAATGAAGCTGATGAAAAATGAAGGATGAAACTGAATTGAAAAGGCCTGCGAGAAAATCGACACCGTGACACACGAACTAATTATCAATTAATAGAATTTCCAGGAGGAAAAAAAAAACGAGCGAACCCAGTACGAACTGAATCACGTGATTATTTTTTCTTTTCGCTCCTCATTTCCGATGAGACAAATGGTCAAGGGTCATAAACACATACACACCGCTTTATTATTTTTTTTATTCACTTAATAATCCATAAACTATGTAATAGTAATAATAGATATACAGGCAAACATGAAAGAAAATACAAACGATAATTGCACAATTTTTTTTACTACTTTTCACAATAGCTTAAAATACTATACAATATAGATTTCGCTTTTCTTAGTAATGTTACTTGTCCCTCCGTTAAAAAAATTGTCGAGAAAAAGAATAAATGGAAAATTTATTGAGCAGACGATGGAACGTTAGTACCTGCGCGATACGAAAGATTTATTCATTATACGGAATTGATATTGAAAAAAAAAAAATACCATTGATTTCAAGACGAATGATGATTATTCGTGGGAAAGTAACGAGAGCACGAGGAATAACAGATTACCCGAGAGAGAAAAAGAAACGAAATTCTAACAAATCAAATAAAAAATTTCGTTCACTCGCGCAAAGAACATGTGTAACTGAAAAACAATATGGTTACGTTATCTTGCTTACTTATTATTTTGTTATCTGCCAAGGTGTTCTGGTTTATAGTATATATTTATTATTGATTATTATCATTTATAAGCTATGTCAAATGCATTTTAATATATTTTCATTTTTTATATAATGCAGAAAATGTACTGTTTGGTTTAATAATTCCGTTGTTTTTATTCTTTCGTTTTTACGATCCGAAATGAAAAAGAAAAAAAAAACCTGTCACATCCTCTTGCCATAAACTGGATAAATCGTATGAAACCCTAAAAAATAAATAAAAACAATCACGAATTTTACAAAAGAGATATTTTCAGCCGCAATATTGAAAAGGTAAGTTTGCCTTAATTGTACCAACCGGTATCATTGTCAATGTCTTTTGTCCCCGCAACACCAGCCATAAACTCCTAACGATACACACTGTGTCATTAAACTTGCGTCTTTTCAATTAAAAACAAGAAAGAGAACATATTCAACAAAAAAAATAATGAAAGCAAGCGGTCATCACAGTGCAATAGCGAAGAATGTTTTCTTCGCCTCACAAAAAAACTGTAGTTTGTGTGTTTTTAATGATCATGCTATATACATCACATTGAACAGCGAAGATACCTTCTCCTCCTCAATACTATCAGCTGCATATAATTATTTACCTCCCATTGAAAAAAAAAAAAATTACATATCTCTTAAACGTAGTATTTCATATGAATAATGAAAGAAATTTTCCGTGTAAGATCCCAGACATTAATAGCATTAAAAAGCGATACATGCTGTTAAAACTCGAGTTGCATGCTTTAAGTGTTACCCCGAATGCTCAGTGTTTATCCTGTCTTTTGTCAGGCCTCTCTCTCTCTCTCTCTCCACCATTTTTCCAAAAACCGTAAAAAATAATTATTTATTTCTCCTAACGACACATACCCATATCATCCATGTTATCGCATTATTTAATATTATTTTTCATTTACGTTCATCAACACAATGTACATTTTTTTTTGTTCCCCGTACTTTTATTGAGTTCAAATATATCCACAGCATCCCTTCCCTCGCTGTTACTCTCATCCTCCTTCTACCTTCTATCCATCCCCTATACACTGCCAACTGCAGTTTCTTTTGCCTGAAGTTTAATGAGACACAACTCTTGGGAAATTGGATAAAGAGCAATTTTCAAATGAAAATAAATGGTTTTCGCCTGGCCCTCTCAACAACCCCCACAGTTATATATTTTTTTATCTCCACCCCTCGTAATATCTTCGAGTTTGAATTTATAATATTGTATTCGAGAAATACGATGGATGAGTTCTTCATCTCGCCATTTTCACTAGGTAATTCAATTTGAATAAATGAGGCGTCCCCACTCATTGAAAGCACTTTTAGACGAGACAACTTTCAACTCGATTTTATTTTCCTCTCATTTTTTCTCCACCTCCCCCTCTTTCAAATTTTTTTTACTTCCATTTTAAGTTCTTCTTCGTTTTTACAAAGTCATGTATTTTCAATCTACTCTGAATGTAACTTGAGGATGAGAGAATATTTTTAGAGATGAGGGGCGAGCGACAGGTAGAGGAGGGGAGGGTAAGCGAATAATGAAGGCAATGATAACACATTTATCAAGAAATATAGGATAAATGGGATATCAGCGAAAAAATAAAATTGAGACGAATCTCATGATTGGAAATTGGAAAAGGAAAAAAGAAAATGGAAAGAAAAAAAAAAGGGGAAAAATGAGAAATGTGTCAGACTGTGGTGGTAGGTAAGTGTGGGGTGGCTGCATGAGGTGCATTGTTGTTGTTTCAGTGCTCGCCTCCATGCCAGGGCTGACCTTGAATTCGCTGAATACACCATCTCCAAAGAAGCTGTTTACTTGTCAATTGTGTGGCAAGGTGCTATGCAGCAAAGCATCCCTAAAACGTCACGTGGCGGACAAGCATGCCGAACGACAGGAGGAGTACAGATGCGTCATCTGCGAACGGGTTTACTGCTCACGTAACTCCCTGATGACACATATCTATACCTATCATAAGAGCAGACCTGGCGACATTGACATTAAGTTCTTTTGAAGGTTTAGATAAGGTAGGGTCCAAGTCCAAAAAAAAGAACGAATCAAATAACAAAAAAGAATTAATCGGTCTTGATTATATGCTCTCTAAGTTTAAATATATATTTTTTACTCCTCATTTGCTTTTGATTTATGTTTTTTTTTTCTTTCAATATTATTATTTAAATTCTCTACTTCTCTCACTCTGTCTCTCTCTCTCTCTTCGCAGAAAATTGCATGCTCGACTAACTCTCTCGGATCCAACACAATTTCTGATGATTTACTGTATTTTATTTGCTAGTTCTCCCAGCCTCCCGTTTTGTTACACAAAAAATTCATCCCACTTTTCCCAACTGGATTTGGCCTCATTTTTTGATGCATGAATGGGTTATTGAAATGAAAATTTTCACCGAAGTAAATTTGTCTATCTGAATGTAGATGAATTATTCAAGATGACTTGAATGACGTCTGAACTGAAATTTCTCTCACGGGTGGAAGAAAACTTTCCGATTGTTATTTATACGACTGTGATGGAAATCGATTACTTTTACAACTGTAATAGAATGAATTGGATTGGTAACAACGATGACACTATTAGGCTCTATTAACGGAAACAATGTTTCAGGCAACCCACCCTCAATACTAACCCAACATATCCCAAAACTGCCTTATTAATTTCACACGTCTGTATTTTTTTCATTTATTGCTACCTCTTTATTTCCTCCCTTAGTCATCATTTGGATAATCTTTTTTTTTTTTATTCATCATTGCTTTTGATGTTCGATGTTGTCTGTGCACGCCTCGTGAACACGCAGTCACGCATTAAATATACCTTTCAGCACGCGCTGGGTATCACCTCATCGGGATAATCGAGTGTAAAAAATCAGTTTGTACTCTTTTTTTTTTCAAGTAATATATATTTTACATTCAATGCGCAGTCGTGCATAACGAAAATCAACAGGGACCAAATAATTGCATGACTTCTTTCTCACCTGTTCGCTCTACCCCTCTATTATCGAAAATATTTATTTAATATTCTTTATTTATTCCAAATATCTCCGATGCATGTCTAATAAATACATTATTTAATTATTCACTTTCGTTACTAGCGTTTGACATTATTTGAAAATCAGTCAATGTTCAGACAATTTCGCGTAATTAGTGGGTAATTAGTGGGTTCTCTGAGGAAAGTGAATGAATAACAAATGAATTGATTGATGTCTCGGGAAGAATGGAAGGGGAATTGATGAAAAATAATAATCAAGGGTGTTAATTTAGTGGTGGTATTGAATTTACAGGTACGGGCAATGGGATGCATCCACCAACGACGCCTCCCGCTGCCGTGTACCGGATGCCACCGCCAACTGCGGGCGGTATAAATGAACCACAGGAGTGTCCCTACTGTCGTCGTACATTCTCCTGTTATTATTCATTGAAACGTCACTTTCAGGATAAACACGAGCAGTCCGATACATTATACGTGTGTGAATTTTGTAATCGTCGCTATCGTACTAAAAATTCACTAACAACGCACAAGAGTCTTCAGCATCGTGGCTCAAGTGGTATGCTTAAGAGACTACTCAAAACATCAGCTATAAAAAATGTATTAGCACACCATACGCAGATACAGCATCAGCCACAATGAAAATTGTGGAGTTATGCGCACAATGGCTATCCCCATGTGTATTATCGTAATTATAATAATGATCATTGTCTTTAGAGGGATGGAAACGAATTATGTTGATGGAATCGTAGGTTTTAATTACCACTTCTGCTCTGTCGTTTTAATAAACAATGGGAATTGTTGGGTTTTTTATTTTATACGGCATTGGGAAGTGTGTGGATCGGATGAGTTGGAATGTTGTTTAATTCGACAGGAATTCACGTACGAATATATTTCAATGCTCCAGTTATTAGCGTCAAATTGCCCGCTGAAAATTCGATTTTAATCTTAATTATTGTTTTTTAATTTTTAATTTCTTATTCGTCAAGACTGCACTTAATCCAAAGAATAAAACAATGGACGAATTGACTGAAAAATTTTATCGAAAAAAACAAGGAAAAATGTGAAATTCGAAGAGCTTAACCAAAATGCCAATTCGATCGGATACATTCCATTGAGATTATTGAATTTTGTTTTGTTTTCTGTTAAATTAATTTTTTTGTCAAAAAGTTTCCACCGATCGGGTGAAATCGGAGTAGTGAAATTATTATCGACTGATTGGCCATTGGAAATTAAATAATTCTTATGATTTAGAGGAGAGCATTAATGTGCATGCGATGAGAAATTCGGACGCGTGGGTAGTGAAAAAATTTTCACGGCGTAGACAGAAAAGTCAGTGAAGTGCTGAAGCACTCGATGGATGCAACTCAATTCAATGAGAGAATTTTTCAATTAAAAAAAAAACTGTAAACGTAATTTTGTCGCCGTACTATTTGTGTCTATAGATGTACAATAATAGCAGAACGTGCGACAAATTATAGAAAAAAAAAAATACAATGATGAAATCCTTAAGGAGTGCACATATGTTAATAATGATTAAGTCAAGAGAATTTGTTTCTTTCTTTTCGGGGGGTAATACAATTAATGTCTTAGGCCTAAGTAAAATTCAATTACGAAATCTGATGTGCTCAAATTCCATAAAGGAGAGAAGTCTTTAGAGGGAGGAGAAATAATTGAGTGGACAGCAGGTAGAGAGAAAAATGGATATAGAAAAGAAAAGGTAAATGAGATAAAAAAAAATAGTGTGAATTCTACGGGCTTTGAAACTTGTATAGGTCCATCACGCGCGCAAATTAACAGACTATATTTTTAACTCTTTAAAAGTAATATTTTGAACTGTGTACATAAACATATAAATTATATATTATATTCGTACTGGTAATGATTAATAATATTTCCATGTTCAGATTTTGTAAACGATGATTAGACAAAATGATGAGAATTACATAGCACTACACTGCAGACAGTTTCGTGTACGACATCAGGACAGATTATAGTGATCGGGGAATATATCAGAATGAATATGATTATGTCATATTGCAATGCATATCATCTCTTCTTGTAGCCGAATATATATATATTTTTTTTTGGTCTTTTGTTGAAATGGAATTTGTTTATTTCAGGGTGTGTCCTGGTGTCGTTACAATTATTTGGCAAGCAGAACAGTGGAAACTGTCGGGTCTTCTCCATTTTTTCGGAATAACTTTCCGTTGGAAATTGTGCAATATCTGTCTGAGATTGGAGGGAAAAAATGGGAGTCTATTTCGGTAGTGAAGTGCGAGAATAAATTCCACCTGCCAAAATTCATTCCGAATAATTTTTTCATAGATTTTTATTTCACGCGTGCCTTCTGCTGTTCTGCTTACCCCTTGCACACAAATTTCCGTACTAAAAACGTAATAGTACAAGAAAATTAAATCACCCTAAAAGTTGTTCATGATCGCAACAAATTCAGGTCTGAAACTCAGAGATGAACGGAAAGAGAAATTGATGTTTTATTCGATTTGAGAAAAACAAAAAAATACGCCATTATTCATTAACGAGCAAGTACAAATTATTAAGAAAAAAAAAAGAGCAGCTACATCTATGTTAGATCCCATAGTGTTGAGCGATGAAAAATTGAATTTATCGAATTTTTTCCTTTGAATATAAATGGAAAACGATTTTTTAACATATCCACCGATTCACGAAGTATACCATTAAAAAAATTATACGATTTAATAATAAGTCTCCTGAGAGATGGAGTTGATAGAAAATTTGTGTCAAAAGATGGTGAATTTTCATTTCGTTTTAAATTTATATAAATTTTAAGTATTAAATTGAAAAATTTGTAATGAGTGGTCCTTCATAATGTGGAGAGTAAATGAAAATTGTAACGGATACCAAAATTGATTTTCGTACTTGGGGAAAAATGGAAAATTTGTCGGGAGAATTTGGCTAGTCATTATTGCAACCTTCCACAATAGCTGTGATAAAGGAAGGGAAGGTGTAGAAAAGATCGATCAATTAGTCCACATTATAATTACACTCATTACAAGACGATCCAGAATAAAAAATGAGGATAAAATTGGTTACGATATTGGAAAATTCTGTGATGTTTTTCATTTGGTATACTAGAGGAAGCGGGTGATGTTAGATAAAAGAGAAGTATGTATACGCGATTTTGTGAATGTTTAATGTTTGTGAAAAAAAAATTACTCACAATGATGGGCAAGTCTATCCAAGTGATTTGATCCGCTAATTGGAACAAATGATGTTTATTAACAACTGATCGAGTCAATTGCGAAACGAATTAGTTAAATGTTTTTAAAAATTATATATGAGTTATAATGAATAAAGAAAAATTAGTCGTAAAATTGAGACCATCGTCTGCTCAAAATTAACGAAAAAAAAAAACATTTCACGATGCCAAAGTACGTAGTAGACTTGAATAATTAGTAATTGAATACCAAATTTTTAATTTTCTCGATCAGTTGGCTCGATAAGTGTTTCGATTAATTTGTTCAAATTGAATAACAAATTCCATTCTAATGTGCCAACACAATCGAAATTTAAGGGTTGAGTAGAATTCTTTGTGATCCACTCGAAATAACGAAAAAAATTTTTAATGTAGCTGAATAATTGCGTCATGTCTTCTGTAAATGAGAACAATTAGCGATGTAGCGAGTGATTAATGAGAAATTATCATTTTGGATGAGAACAAATATTGATATGGACTTTGTCTCGTGTATGCTATAAAGAGGACTAAAAAGGGGATTAAAAAAACAAAAAAAAAATACATATTTTGAACTATCTATTTTTATTTGCACTCTATATCACATACTGTATATATGAATAGGGTATATATCGATAGGACTAACGATGGAGGAGCATTTATTATAGGCCAGGTGCGAGTTGTCGTTGATACTAGTATTTGATTTACTTGTATAATCAATTAATCATCAGCGATTTTTTTTTAAGAGAATGCTGAGAATAGCATGCATTCATTACTTGCATGACTCATTTCTCATTTTCGAATGTTTAATCTGACATTTTTTCTGGTGAAAATTGACCGGAAATCAGGGATTATTTTCGTCATGAGCTTGATGGAATGGGGTATGGTGGGTATGATGGATATGACTTGGGATATGATGATCTTGTGAATTAGTAATTATCGGGTTGGCAGTTCCATTTCCGGCAATTTTTCTTCCACAATCGGTAGGTTTCCATAATTGATTAAAAAACAATTGTTTTTCTTCGTGGGTTAAAGAGACTATTCAAGCGTAAATGGAAGTTATTTCCTTTTGCACACGTAGCTCAATTTGAAAAATACGTTTTCTTCTTTCTTAGCGCTGTGAGAAAATGCTTTGATAATGCGAATTTACTGTCGAGAAGGCTGATTTTTATAATTTAGACGTCAGTTTAATTAAGAAAAAATCGAATAACCTTTAAAAAACATTACTTGTTTCTATTTTTCGTTTATTTTCTTCCTCCTCTTTCCAAATTATTGTTTGTTCTTGTTAAGTTGGAAAAGAAAAGGTTGACTGATTAGACTGTCCCCAATGGGTTGGAAAATTTTTATTTTGTTGTTTCATGTGATATTGTTTTACCAAAGAAACAATGAGGGAAATCAATTTTTGGATTATTCGATTATTTGAAGTCAAAATTAGATATTTTCATTTGTGTGAGAAATTTGAAAGCTTTTGAAATTGAATTTTCGCATTAAAGGAAAAGTTGAATCGCATTTTTTAACGAATGCACTTAAAAAAAAATAAAGGAACGAGAACAACAAGAATATTCGAATCAAGGAAAAGAAAGATCTAAGCATTGTAATGTTCGGAGAAAATAAAAGAGGATGATATGAAATTGTCGAACATATAGGAGAAAGACTACTTAGATTTATTTTTATTATGTCTTCAAAAAGACTTTAAATATAATATTTATATATTGTGCCATAACTACTGATAATGAACACTAAATATAAATCAATTGTTACAAAAAGAAGAAAAAAAAAATCAAGAAAAAATTTGTCGGACGGTTCATCAAACACCAGAGAACTCAAAATATGTAATCGCGAGGAAAAATTATTGAAACAAATGGACCAAAGTTCGTAATTCGTATGGAATGACAACGCATAACTGATTTTCAAAAATGGCATTTCGATTATTGTCTCATCATTGTGGCACATTCACTGATAAACAAATATTATATAAGCGTCGACTGATTCAATCATCCTGGCCATATAAATATAATTAACGTGCAATGCTGAAAAAATTCACAACTCCGTTCATTTATTTCTTTCTATTTTTTTTCCTGAATGAATTGTTTATGAGTTTCGCGATGCGGTGGACAGAATCATCACCTAAAACTTATCATCATGACTGAGGCACTTTTTTTTTCAACTGAACGATCAATCCGTATTAGTTGGCGTTTGTATCTTTTAATCAACAATTATTTTTCATTATTTGCAATCGATAGTTTCTTTACTGAGTATACTCGTGATGCACTCGTTGGGAGAACTTCAACGAGTGAATTATAATTATACGTCTATAATTAGTAGTTTCAATCGATGTGAATTAGTCTAATGTACGATATCCTCAGAAATATTTTTTTCCCCTCTCCAAGATAATTCAGTTGATTCTTTGTGTACATACATATACATATCTATAAATAATTATTAGTAATATTCCGTAAGGTAATTCTCCACAGGATTATTATTATTATCATTACTATTAATTTCCCTTTACTATTTGCGTCTGTTCTCAAAGTGATTGTTGAAATATGTTTATGAGAACTTGACACAGCAGCTTATTATGATTGAATACATCAATACACTATTATATTATTGCATTATTAATTATTCATTATTGATGTTTATGTTTGTTTTTCTGAATTTATTTGCTGTAAGTCTCACGCATTAGAGAAAAGGTAGGGAACGAAGGGGAAATAATTCACGGGAATTTTTCTCATCTCGTTTAACGTTTTTTTCTTTTAAACAATAACGAGAGAAATAAATAAACGTATATAATCTTCATTATGGAATGATTTCTTCTCTGAGCAAGCGAAATAAATTTCATTACGAAGGACAAGAGAACTGTTGATCAAAACAACAAAATGTATTTCATATATTGTTTCATCTTCGCTTTTGTTTATTATAGTTACTATTGTTAAACGAATCACTCTATAGTGGATAGAAGAACGATGTGCAAAAAAAAACGTCCACATGTTCTCTCCGTGATACTTAATCCTGTCGAAAAAAAAAATCATTGATTAGAGACAATTCATGAAACTTCAATTGATCCATCCTCGTCTGCTTGTCATAATTGTATTTGCGTAAATGAGAAAATAGGTTTTTACAACTTCGTAGTAACAAATAACAATACTTTAACGAAGTAATAATTGAGTGATTGGAGCAGATATATGAGCCGGATTTAAATGTAATTAAATAATGAAAAAAAAAAAATGAATTAAAAGTAACAAAGTGCAACACGCTGCCTTGCTGAACAGTACAAGTACAAAATGATTACAAATACATAAAAAAAAAGAAACAAGAAAAAAAAACACGTCTTCGATTAAAATGGAAGAAACAATTTCTGGTAGAAGTGTAAGATTTTTCGATAAAAGGAAAAAACCAATATTAAATCTAATTGTAATTAAATGAAAAATGATGGATTCTCCGATAGTAGTGTCGCTAACCATAAACATTATAAAAGCGATGCACCTAACAAATACCTCAATCGTCGTTGTCTCAGATTTCTGTTGAACACAATTTTTGTGCATCTATTTTCCCCCTGTCAGCATTCATAATCCATACTGTGTAATCTACGAGAAACATATCACTAATATATAAACGTTTTTATACCGACTGAGATAATAGAAAAAAAACTAGTGAACTGAAAACAAATCAATGTTCAGATTTTCACGATTGAGGACCGCCATTGTAATTCATTGAATTGAATTATCAATCATTGAAAACACTGCCAATTTATTTGGTAACCATCAATCGTGAAAATAATACTCCAGAGTTGTAACGATAAAATACAATTGAAATAATGCGAAAATTAATCATTCATAGTGTAATAATCTGAGGCACGACTCTAGCAGATTCTCATTTAAGCTACAATAGTCGTTGTACTTATGTCTTGTACATTATCTAATATTAAATAATGTCTGGGATATCATTGCCAGGAGATAAAACGACAGGTGCGATTGAATTGAATTCGAAACGTGCGATTGTAAATGAAACTAGAGAAATGTCAGTCGCAATTTGAGGAGCCATCGCCATATCATATTTTTCAGAATTTATATATATATATATTTATATATATATAAATATATATATTATATCTGAATAGACATCAGCATATCTATATTGTTTTCGTTAATCATGTCTGTAACATAATCATACTGATTCACAGGAAATTGCTTATCATGAGAAATGATATAAGAATGAGCTCTTAATCGTCAGCTTCTGCTCGAATTTAATTATTTTATCATAACGAAACAGAATTATTGGAGAAGAGATTTATGTAATCATGCATTCCAACGGAACAGCAAGAATGAGATGAAAAAAAAAATAAGAGGATGGTAATTCACGAATTTTTGTAAATTAAACGAAATCATTGACCTCTCGAGTAAATGTGTAAATCGAGAGAATTTGAGGAATAAATTTCATAAGATGCTGAGTACGTGTGAATAAGGGAGTTGATGTTCTCAGCACAAAATCCATCACTAGGCTATAAATATATTAATTATACGATATTTCTAATATATAAAAAGTATATAAAATTATATACATAATTATATATTATTGAATAAGTGTTTATTCGCATTTTTAACACGATAAGGAATTATTAATTATAGAAATTCAATAATAGTTGTTGGTGTAATATTATATGAAATAAATCTTTAATGATAGAAGATACACATTTCGGGTTGGTATTAGATTTATTTCCCTTTCAGTTTTGGTAGTTGTCTATTGATTTGATCTACTGATTTTTTTTCTAATTAAAGGAGAGGGGGAAAAGGATTAATTTGTCCGGAAGATTGCAGGGTGAGAGTGACATTTAATGGCTCAATCTCAGGCTTTTTAAGTATCGATTTTGTCTCGACTTTGTCGATCGAAATTGATTCTACAAGATCGATGTCTGCAGGTGGTATTCCAGTGATCGCAGCCTCTGCGCGAAAGAGACTAGTATCAGGATGGAAAGTCCTGTTTTCCCCCGTTTCTGGAAGTGTCATTTCACCATTAATTTTTGGGTGATTTTCAGATTTGGTTTTTGCGAATGGTGCGAGCAATTTTGACGCATGTTGAATGGTTGTATTTAATTCCTCACTCTGCAGAAATTGTACAATTGAAAAATATTTTTAGCAACACAAAAAAAAACATTATTTACACACATACTTCCATTTTATCGTGTGAATAAATGGGGAAATTTTTTTGATGAAAAAGACTTACTTTGAAGAATCCATAATCAAGGCATAATCCGGAATCCCAAAGAGAAATGGAGGTGAGGAAAGCACAGAGTAATGATGAGTCCATTTTCGTAGAACTGGTGAGGGGAATTTTTTTTCTCCGGAAGATACTGCAATCATAAAAAAAATTGCCAAATTGGGAATTGAAAAAAAATGCAAATTAAAAAATCAGTAAGTTGCTATATCGACTGCTGCTGCAACACCTGTCGGATATTGAGCCTCTGCTGGTCGTGAAGGAGTCAGTAGAGTATTGGCCGATATTCAGGTTTTCAATGTTTGCCTACTATGAAATACAGGATTAAATTTCAATATGTTTCCAGGAGTGGCACCATGTCTGACTATTGCCTGACCTTACCTCCGTCTGATTATTCTCACAATTTTTATATCCCGATTTTAGAAGCGATAAAGAACATGTAGGTCACCCCACCGAAGAATCTCTCAAACCCCTAAAAAACTTTCACCAACTATTTTATTTCCCTAGAAAAAAAAACTTCCATTTAAATGCTCTTAATTTTACTCGAATTTCATTCGAACAATTTCAACAAAATCGAGCTCTATGAAAAACTTGGAAATCACCTAGAAACTTTATCCAACTTTATAAACACATTGTGCAAAATACTTTCCAATTTTCTGAAATGAAAGTTTCGAAAAAAATAACTCGAACCAAAATTGTTTCCGATTATTGTCTCGCAGGATTAAACAAATTCATCGCAGATAATTAAGTCCAGTTAAATATTTACTCTTGCTCTGTTTACCCATTCACTGGAGTAAAACTGAAAATGTCCAGTGAATGTTTGGAAGAGGATTTAGAAGATGTGGACTGCCAGACAAAATCGAAATGTTATTTCAGGGGAGAATGGGGTGTGGGGATTGCAGTGCCATCAATTAGGGGTGAAGAAGTCCAAGTTCGGAGGGACACATCGCTTCCTCCCTTTATTCAATGCAAATTACCAGAGGTTTTCGAGAGTTCGTTGAAGACTCCTGCTATTCCAAACTTTACTATCCAATTTATAAAAATATTCACCGCGAAATTCATTGCCTCAGCAATTTGATATACGAAATACCCGATATAAAATTAAATAAAATCATAGACAGACATGTACACGAAGGGGTGCGTTCACCGCTCGTTCATAAATTATTCAAAATGACTTACCAATATCGCGAGTATGGAGAGCAATTTTTTTTATATTTTTAAAATGAGCTAGATCTTGCTGCAATCACGCGTTATTGTCGTTTGGACGACCAAACATCCGAGCAGAAGTGTTTATCCGTTCTACAGCGTCCAATCTCACTCAGTTAATTAATTTTCAACTACCCATTACCCTTATCAGACCTCCTAAGCAATAAAAAATCTCAAACAAATGAGACTGAGACGTGGGGAAGTATACCGATGACGTGAACAAGTCGGAGACGTAAACCGCTCAAAAAAATTTTTTTCTCCGCACGCAAAATATCGAAAATTTCTTTCGAGTGTTAGTTTCTCCATACAAGCAAAGGCGTACATGTCAATAGACTTTATTTCCGCGAGAGGGAATTATCCGCCACTTTTTATCATAAAAATCCGATTTGTATGTTATGGGAATGCGAGGCGGGCGACGTGGGATGGGTCGAGTGGAGGATTCTTCATTTTTTTAGAAGGTCAGGGGAATCCAGGGCTTTTATATTTTACGGATGGAATTATCTATATATTTTCTGGGTGGAATGGCTCCGAGTTATGGGTTGTATGGCAGACCTCAATCCGTTCAGAGGTCCTGGTTTCAGGACACGTACGGTAAACCTTGTTGAGTACTCTGAAAGGGTTTCACGTCGATGTTGTCGGGAATAATAATAATATTTACGATGTATCAGGGATATTCCAATTTTTTCATACTAACCGGAATTCGATGGGATTGTTCGTGTTTTATCACTTTTTTTTATGTCTCGACATTGTTTTTGCGGGTCAATTTGTAGGGCATATTGATATTCCGTAGATGGGCGATGTATCCCTCGTGGATTATTTTATTCAAAATAATTTTTCTCAGCAAAATAAAGGAGACTAACTCACGGTGGATTACTGGACTAGAATACGATAGCACGGAGAAATACTTCTTATGGAAATAAGAAATGGCTCATGAATTCAGGTGAACTCCTCACGACCTTGACCCCTCGCCACCTTCTACACCACCAGGAGTTGGCAAGAAACCCTACGACACATGCGCACCAATTTATGCTCTCTTACATCTCCCATAAACTGACGGCATATGAAAAAAAATATACACCATCAACCAACAGAAATTTTAATTATCACTCTGAAAATCTATTCTCCATTATTCACGTACATTTTTCTCACTGGAATTATATTTCCATGGATCCTCCATAATCATTGAAATAAATATTGCGTGATATTTTTGAGAGCTTGGGAAATTAGATTAAAAGTAAAAATCTCGGGATTAAAAAAAACCGGGGAAATATGAAAAAAATTTCTCCTTCAGTTTTCCATCATCAAAGACCAACTTGAAAATTCAATTCCACTGTCGCGAATTCCCTCATACTTAAAACCACTTAGTGCTACCCAGAGTGAACATTCCAGTCTCTCGATTGCCCGTACAAAAATAGACCAGTGTGAAAAGAAAAAAAAAACCAGTGGTTGCATTGTTTAGACAAACATGAAAACAGTATAAAAAGAGTATCAACCGCTAGATCGATGGGTATTGCTCGTTCTTTTCAAATAAAAAATGTTAGAAAAATGTAGGAGAGAGAGTATAGGGGGTGGGATTGATCGATCTGCCCCGGGTGTAGTCAATCGAACGTGTCACCTCAGGGGCGAGAGGGAAAAAAAAAAAATTCCCCTCATCGGAAGTTCAATCTCAAAAAGTCAATATCCACGGAGAGACGTGAAAAATATTCAGATTACACAGCAGTGAAAATATTATCTATAGAGTGAAAGGATCGAGAGGTATTTTCAACTCGGTGGACACTTTAATCCGACTTTAATCACTTGACCTTTGGCTATCAATCAAACCGGAAGTAGTGCGTGTGTGGAGGTCTGCAAGTGGTAAATACGAGTGGGCTCCTTCAAACGATGTACTTCACCGAGGGAAACTCATCCCTCCATTTTCCACTCCCCCTCATTTACCACTCTGTGAACTATCGTTAATTCACAGCCCAGAGGATAACCCCTTGCCTCTCGTGTTATCTCCGGCCTCTTCATTCTGCATCCCACCCCTTCACCCAACTACATGGCCCACTCGGCTTTTACCAAACCTCTGTGGATTTTCATCCCTCCACTGCCCTCCAAATATCCCCCTCAATGAATATGGTGCAACAGGCAGTGTTCCGGTTCACTTGTCCCACCTCCAACGTCTACGGAAAAACTGGGTTAACGGACACTTTTTTTCTTTCGAATCGAATCATTGAAATCCATCGAATTGAATTTTTTTATTGATTTTATATCGATCGGATAAGACGCACATGTAAAAATTCCATTTCTAAATCGCGATCGATCGTGAAATTAGAGATCGGTCCTAATATTATTTTCTCCAGTACTTGCGGCAATGATGATGGCAATGATATTCATTTAAATTGTTGATTTCGTGTATCTCCCCATGAAATATTCACCTGTGAATTGCAAATAGTCGACGGATCGGATGTCTAGGTGGAAACGGATGCAATGAACAACAATTCCTTTGCTGTGATAATAGGATTGGCTTGTCCTTGGTGCTGTTCACAGGGCGTACCACCATGGGGATGTAGGTGATATTGCTGTACACTCTATCGCTCACGACCCCGATGAAGAAGAGGGGAATATAGAGGCCTTATGGCAGGCGCACCCTGCGAGCTACGGTATACCATGAGCGTGCGCACAACCTACGGGGTGGGTTTCCACTAGGGGATGGAATTCTGATACCGAGGCCAGCCCGATCAGACGTTCGGCAACCGCGTCTACGAATCCCTCCGACAGGTCCCGTTAAGTATTTATCTCATTTTCATCATCGCTTTTGGTTTTTGACGGGTATCTTCACCAGCTGTCTGCCACCGGTGGATAAACACTTCCGTCCGATCAGTTAAATCCCCCTCCCGGGGGGCCTCAATCAACCCCCGACGATCGTTCATCCAGCGAAATTCTCAGGCACAAGTTCTCGGGACACATCGTGAGCCGCGCGACCACCTGTAGTTTACCCGCAGATTCACCTCGGCGTTTATTTCAGAAATTTTTTTCTTTTATTTTGGTGGGATTCTTCATCAGCCACAGGATCGATTGGGATCCAGGGTATATCGAATCGACGGGCATCCAGCAACTCTTCATCAGGATTACCACCAACATGAAGACCTCATCGTTTTCTTTACGGGTTATGCGCAGGGTGAGTGAAAATTGTTATTAATTTTCTATCCACCCCTCGTGTCACTCGTTACTCAAATAATTCAATAGCGCGTACGAGAGGTGTAATCACTTCACCGTCATTATTATTCCAGAGAAAATTAATGGAAACAGCGTTCAATTTTTTGAAGAACCATTTTATGCGTAATTATGCAGAATATCATGATTGGAGTAATTGAAATTGCGGAGAGAGGATGGAAATTTATTCCGCACTAACGAACGCGAAAAAAAAATAAGGGATTTCAATTCATTGAATTGGGGACTTAATTTAATCCATCGACAATGTGGATTGCCACACGTTTTTTTGTTTAGCCACGGGTTTTCACTTCAATCATTGGAGTGTTCAGCATTGAAATTTTAAATGCATCAGCGATATAGTTACTATTTTCCTCTTCGCTCACTCAACGGGTGCACATTACTTCGAGCACTCGGCATTATTAGCCGTAATGCTGAGAGAGTACTACTTAAATTATTCCACGTGCTACATCTTAAATTATCGGGTGAGGCTATTTTCACTTGTCAAAGACTCAAAGACCACAATTCACCGCCATTTACATTTTTAAACAATCCATCTTTCGTCTTCCTACTTTATAATTATTTTTATCTCGTCTCGGCATCCAGGAGAATTCATGTCGCGAATGGAGAGTGTGTGGCAATTGTATCAGATTGAAAACAATTACTTCTGGCCATCAATTCTTATTTTCCCAGGGAATCAATTGTAGTCACCATAAAGAAATTGCACTCGGGGGAGCAGTCGAGGTGATGTCAAGCGTTATCGATAATGATAAGGACTATTCGTTCAGTAGAAATTATTGATGGAGAAAAATACGTTATCGATGAACATAATTTTTTATTTCCACAAGAATCGAGTCATTATTTTTTTCATGGACACCCGATATTTCTATATTCTCGAGGACAATAATAAATTATATAATGAAAAATAATGAAGGATAAATTAAATTCCGAAGTCATTAAAAACTAGAACATGTTCTAAAGCTGAAAGTGTGCAATTATCAGTTTTATGGAGTAATTAGCAATAAATTATTCTGATGAGGTAAAAAAAGTGTTGAAATTTACGTTGAGATACTTGGCCTTGAGGGGTAGAATTTAGTGTTATCCTGACAATTAGTTTTCCCCGGGGGTTGAAACAATAGCCGAGGTGGAGGAATTCACGAACCGCATCCGTTACACTATAGGGGCGAGAGGATTCGCTTGACGTTTGTCGTGCACCTTAACTCGTTTTATCTTGCACGAGTCTTTCGTGACATTGAGGGAACTCGCCAGAGGCGATTACACTCCGATGTTGAAAAACTTTTCTCATTCTCCGCCGAAAGGCAATGAGTGAGGTACTCTCAACATTTCACCCTCCAATTCCCCTCATTTTCATACATAAGGGCTCTCCAACTCATTCAACTTGAAATTTTTTCAATCCGTGACATGTAACATTTTTTTAAATAATTTACTCATTCATAATAAAATATTTTTTTTTAATTACTCGTTCTATTCAGATAATTTCTCACTGACAAAATGAATTGACAAAAAAATTCATCGTCATGTCGCGTGTACGTAGGAAATTTATCAGTGACCGAATGTTATCTGACCGATTTATTGATCATAGCATGACGGTCATTTTTTTGTGACCTGATAGGTTTCTATTTCTGACGTCACCTCGCATCTCTACGCGATCTATACGAAGACCCGGTGTTGAGAATTATTGGGTTCTCCAGGGAATGCAATTATTTTGAATCGTTGATAGCTGGATGGATAAAATATTCAATTCGGAGAATTAATACCTGTTAATAGTACAAAGCAATGAGGGTTGAATTCCGAGTGAAGCCACAGTGCAACGTGACTAAGAGGCTTGGTAACTCTGAGCACGCAATCACTAGGAGTAGTATGGCATTGAATATTATA